GTGAACTGATCATCTCCTCCACATTAATACCAGCTTCAGCACAAAATAAACATGACTAAACATCCGAAGGTAAGTTAAAAGAAAGAGTACAACTTTACAATCTGTCTCCTGTCTCATGTAATCACTCAATCGGTGTTTCAGCCGCGCAAAGACCTCAATATAACGGCTTGTAAACAATGTCACGTAACGTCACATTTACCTCAGAAAAACATATTTAGTAATGTAGTACCAGCTGACTCTCAGGTATATTTTACAGCATTAGTTTTTTTTTCCTTGAGAAAATTTGGCATGTACTGTACCTGATATATATCCAAAATAACCGATATTGAATCGAATCGAAATCAGAATTGAATCGCATTGCAAGCTTGTGAATGAGAATCGAATCGAATCGTGAAATTTGTGTCAAAACCCAGCCCTAATATTTATATACTATTGTATCATATATTCATATTTTAAATTAGTTTTTATTATGTATTTATTTTACATTTTATAATTGTACTTTAAGTTCTAGTTAAACATTTTTGTTTTAATTTTAGTTTAGTTTTGTGCTCTTGTCATTTTTATTTAGATTTTTTTAATTCTATTTGACTGTATTTTATTCACGTATTAGTAATTGAAGTACTTCTACTTAAACTTTATTTCAGTTAGTTGCCAAGGCAACATTTCTAATTTTTGCTGAAGTTTTGTAGATTTAAGAAGTTTTTAAATGTTCAATTTTTTTAAAGTTCACAAAAAAGTTATTGTTTCCAATGTTTTTTTTTTGACCCTTGTATTTTAAAAAATAAGGTTGACGTTTCACTTTGTTTATTATCGTGTTTATTGACATATCTTGTTCTTCTTACTGTGTTTTGTATTTGTTGTAAAGCATTTTGAGAAAGCAATTTTTATAGGTGCTATATAAAATATAATTATTGATTGATTTATTGAAGATGTTGTTTTAAAACGATCATATTATGATGTGATAATGTGATCCATTGCAGTGATATTTTAGTATCATTGAGATGCTATAACAGTTTTTATTCATGTTTTGAATTAGTTTTTATTTAATTTTATTTTCATTTTAAAGTTTGAGTCATTTAGTTAAGTCTCATTTTTTTTAATGTCTATATAGATTTTAACAATTTGTATTTCAGTTTTTGTTTGAGTTAGTACATCAAGTTAAAGTAAATGAAAATGAAAAATGTTGCCTTGGCAACTAATAAGTTACATATAAGTTTTATTTCAAATGATGAATGTGTTTTGTGTTTTTTTTAAGTTTTAATTGTAGGGATCTATAATGACTCTGATCCACTGATTTGTTAATTTTAATGATGGTTAACTATGAGCATCCTAGTAGCAGACTGCCACATCAGACGGGTAGTTTGACTAGTTAATGAGCTTGTGTGTGTGTTTTGTGTGTTCATTGGTAGCGTGTGGATCGGGCCAGTATAAAGCGTCTGTCGGTGGGAGTTTGTGTCGTGTGTGTCCAGACAACAGTAACACACACTCTCCTGGATCCAGTGTGTGTTTGTGCCGCCCTGGATTCCACCGCGCCGCCAACGACCTTCCTGATTCATCCTGCACCAGTGAGACACACACACACACACTCACACACACACACACACTCTCACACACACACACACACACACACACACACACACACAC